TGAGAGATGAGAATGCATGTACAACCAACGATGTAACGCTAAGAACTGACGACAATTATCTATCTATTGCTCTTGAAGAAGAAATTGAATGGCTGCAGGAAGTAAAACGAGTCTTGGAGGAAGAGATGCTTCCCGAAGGTTAAAATGTATCGTGGTCAGGTTACCATGCGAGTAAGCAGCAACAACAAAATTTAAAACCAGCAGTTTCATCATTACTGCCATTATTTCAAGATGACTCTAAATCAGTTGCCATAATTCGCCACAGTATGAATATCGTCAAGAATACAACGGAATTTCTAAATCCTGGCCAGGTTCCAGTGATAGCTGTTGATCAACCATTGTTTGCCGTGGCAAAGCAAATACAGTGGGACTGGCCGCAAACCCATGGTGAGCAAAACTTTGTCATTTTTCTTGGTGGTCTGCACATAGAGATGTTTACCTTAAAAATTCTCGGTGATTGGTTGGAGGACAGTGGTTGGACAAGTGCGCTGGTAGAAGCAAAGATTGCGAACCCGGGAGTGGCAAATTCATTTGTTAAAGCATCGAATGTCAAGCGTGCAAGGCGTGCTCATCAAGTAACAGCAAGTGCGTTGTATAAGTTGCTCAACACAGCATATGCGAAAAGTGAAGAAGAAATGGCATTGGAAGTTGCTCCATCCTTTGACCAATGGTGCGAAGAGAGGATGTCAAGTTCACCGCATTTTTAATTCTGGCATATTGCATTACAACTGGAACTGCTTTATTTAGTATTTGTGCGCTCATTTCGAGAATCGAATTTCGAGTTGTATCTAGACGGAATTCAGAAATTGTCAGCTTGGTGTTTTGCTTTAGACCACACACATTACGCCAGATGGCTTCCTGTCCACCTGCAAGACATGCTCTCCCTTGAAGAAAAGCATCCACATGTTTATCATCAGTTCGTGAACGGTGGATTCGTTGTTCAGAAGACGTCAAGAAGGTTCTCATCAATAGCAGTTGATCAAGCACACGAACAAAATAATGCATTGGTTAAAGGAGATGGGGGAGCTGTCGGGCTGCAGAGAACCCTAGTGCACTTCGTCGCTGGATGATTTCAGGACCTGAGATTGCGAAAATGATTACAGAATTTGAAGACGATATAGCGCTTGTCACTGAGGAGAAAACAGATCAAGCAAGGCACCACGAAGAGAGACACGGAGTTCAAGTCTCTTTTGCCAATGATGTCAAAGCATTAGTCCATGTAATTGAAATAATGGGAAATCCATTCTTTGAGGAAAGTACTGATCTACTTGTTCTGGACACTAGAACTATAGCAGATGCAACAGTGGTTGCAACTGTTCGTCAGATTGAAGCTGTTGGTAAAGATCAACAGGATGCGTATTTTAAACAATGCTTGACAGACGAAAAACGAAGCATAAATGAGCCGATCAAGAAGAATAAATTTGAATTATTTAGCTGCCCACCTCCAAAGATCCGTTCAAAGGATAAGCAACAAATAGCAATGCTAAATAGTGACTGTACCCTGTTTTCCAGACTATACTTTTTTTGTCAAACAAGAGACGGTGATTTAGACAAATTTTTCGAGCATGAAAATCAAGGCTGTCCACTATCACAACATGGAAGTTTGCGTTTGCCAGGAAACAAGTCAGATCTACTACAATGCATAGAAGCAGCCATTCCTGCTTGAACGGATGCTCCAAACTCTACAGATGCCACTATTATCGACGGCGCTGCTGCAATTAATATGCTTAAACCCACGCCGGCAGTGAAAAACTTCTACGATTATGCTAAGCATGTGTTTACTCCTTACATCAAGGGACAATTATAGCACGCAAAGAGAGTTGATTTAGTGTGGGATGAGTACATACCAAACAGCTTAAAGGAAATAACGAGGAAAAAAAGTGGAAGAGGTATCCGCAGAAGGATCCAGTCATCAACAAAGCTGCCGAGCAACTAGCCTGCGTGCAGTCCCAGACTTCCAAAGGAAGAAGGGACTGCGCAACTTGGGCCGAAAGCTTGCTACGCCAGCTTTCCCGATTTTGGGGAAAATAATTTATGCAAGATAATTAATGCGCTAAATATGCAGCCGCTCGAATATGTAAACCTAATAATATGGCGGCAAGCAAAGGAGTGTTTGATTCTGCTCAGTTTTCTGTCGCTATTTCTACAACCTGTTCTCTTCTGAATGTTGAAAAATTTTATCCGGATCAAGAGCAAGCCCTGCATAATTTCTTTAAAGGCAAAGACTTGTTTTTTAGCGCTCACACTGGCTACGGAAAGTCTCTCATTTTCCAAGCCATACCGATCATTGCTGATGTTTTAAACGAACAAGTAATTGGCACAAGTACGGTACTTGTGATATCGCCATTATTATCACTCATGAAGGATCAAGTAAAGCATGTAAATGATTCATTTGGGATATCTGCGGCTGCTATATTCGATAACCAAGACGAAGATGTTTTAAAAGCAATCGAGGAAGGTGTTTATTCGTTGGTGTATGCAACTCCAGAATGCTTCGTCGGAAAAAAACGTTGGAGGACTCTTGCAAGTTCTCAAACATTTCGTGAAGACTGCATCGCGGTTGTCATAGATGAAGCGCATTGCTTGGTACATTGGTAAGCAAGAATATTATTTTGTACGGTATATCTGAAAATAAGGTATGTCTAATCAATTGTATTACATAATTGTATTCTGATTGTATTCTTTAGGGGAACATCTACTCAAAAGGAAAGCCCATTTAGAAAATGGTATGCCAATGTTGTGGAGTTGAAGTCATTGCTCCATTCTTCTACTCGATATGCTGTATTTACTGCAACTGCAACAAAAGCCACGAAGAGTATTATTTATCAAATGTTGAATTTAAATGTCTACAGCACTTTTGAGATTGAGAAACCACCTTTACGAGGAAATATTAGCTATCAGTTTGTCCACCTCAGCAAGGATAAGCCTCTAGAGACTCTGTTTGGGACCCTGATCGAGAAACTTAAAGCTAAAGGTATTACCACAGAAAGGTGCATTGTGTTTTGTAAGACACGAAAGCAATGTTCTATAGTGTACAGGTTATTTACTGCTGCTCTTGGTGAGAAGAACTTTATTGACAGTAGCTTAAGTTATGACCGCTGTCTAGTGCAAATGTTTCATGCTGGAAGCCCTGACTCAGTGAAAGTTCATGTTCTTAATGAAATGATAAAGGATCATAGTCACCTTAGGCTGTTGATATGCACAGTAGCATTCGGGATGGGTATTGACTGTAAAGATGTGTATTCCAGCATCCATTTTGGTCCTTCTAGCACTGTGGAGAGCCTTATACAGGAAACGGGAAGATTAGGGAGGGATGGAAAACAATGCATTTGTTATGTCTTATACAATGGGCTTCTGACATCTCATTGTGATAATCAGATTAAACAACTTGTGGAGACAAAGAACTGTCGCCAAAACCATATTAGCAACCTTTTCCAAACAAATTCAACTATGTCTTATCCAACAGGTTGTTTGTGCTGTGATCATTGTAGTAAAAATTGTGACTGTTCTGAACATGAGAATATTTCCATGATTTCCTTTGGGGAAACAGCAACAGAGCCAAATGATAGATCATTTAGCATTAAGTGATATACCTCTAAGGATCAAAGAGCACTCCTGCGACAGAAACTTCTTGACTACAGAGCAAGCTTAATTCCAGCAACCACAGAACAATTTTTACCTGTTGGTTCCACAGGCATATTGTTCGAATTTGACCACTATCAAATTGAACAAGTTCTAGCAAACTGTGATCATTTATGCTCTACGGATGACATTATCAGCTGTGTCGAGTTATGGAGAAATACTCATGCAAATATGGTTTATACCATTTTAAATGAGGTTTTTCAAGATATGAATGGTGATGTTTTGTTTTCCCTGTCAGAGGAGGATTTTGAAGATATGGAGGTAGTTCAAGAAGATAGGGAAGAAATACGAGATGACACCGGAAGGGCTGAATTGTTTGGTGATTCAAAATTTGATGACTTATCAAACATTACTGAGGAAAATAGCCTAAATCAAAGTGTGGGATTTGACAATGACAATGTGAGTTTTATTTTAAATCATATAACAAAAGCAATTGAAAACATGGAACATGATTAGTGCATCCATTTAGTTAATTATATTGTAATTATAGTCTGCACTATGATAGTAATATTATATTATATATATATACATTTGTTTATTGTACAAAAATTTTTGAGGTGAGATTCAGGTGATGCGGGAGTGGAGAAAGGGCATGGGGGGGGGGTATTCAAACCTAAGAGCAGTCATAAAGAAAATTTTGTAGCCATGCTATTTTGATGATACCAAAATTTCAGCTCATTTAATTATTATTTCTATGAGCAAATAGAAAATTATGAATTTGAAACAAAAACTAGTTGAAATAGCAAGCATTTTTGATTGATGAAAAGGGCACCTCTTCCTCCCCCTTAAAAAGGGGCAGGAGGGGCAAATGCCCCCCCCCCCCTTTGCACCCCTCGCTGGCATACTTGGAGAGATTGTTCTATTTTGTACTATACCACAATGTCTGTTTCAACGTGCACACTTGTGAAGATGTACTATTTTTTGTGCATGTTTAGCCATTTGAAAAATGCACTTGCATCATGGTCTGCCAATAAACTGTCTTTCATAACTGAAAAATGGCTGTAACATCTTCCGTTTGAGGGTTGCATTGCTTTCTGTTGGATTAGTTCATTCACCACCTTCCGGAGATCCCCATCTGCAGAACGGCTAGAATGCTTACCAGATCTTCTTGTGATAACACACATGTTATCAAAATTGTCTAACATTTCACTGGTAACAGAAAGAGAACTGCAATACCTGTCCATGGCTTGTTTGTTTAATCCATTTGGTCCAAGATTTCTTATTAGAATTTTAATCAACCGGTTGTAATGTTCAAGCGCCAAATCGAGGGGAATATTTCCACCACGGCCAGGTTTTAACTTATGAAATCTGTTCCAAATTAGACGGTGCGCAGCCCGCGGCGAAAGAAAGCTGTTGATTTAGCAAAGGAGGAAAAATGCCTCACGGGCATACTTTTTGCTGCTTTGGCCATCCTCTTTAAAATACGGTAGCATAAACTTCCAACATCTTATTAGGCGCTGTCCATCCCCTTCCGTAACAGCGTCATAAAAATTAGCAAGAAGGAGACCAACCTCAAGTACGGAAGACTGGTAATTAAACATATCGTCCTTCATTACCACACATTTTTCCGTGTCACGATTCTCCTCAACAACCATTTCACCGTGTGTTTTTTCGTGATTACGTCGTCTTTTCCCATCATAGCGAAATGATTTGGTGCAACCAGGAAACCTACACATGTACCTCTCTCCATCAGATGTTTCCACTTTTTTACTGGCTTCAGTTGCTACTCGTGTTTTATCAAGGATTGCTTGCACTTTATCGTCCCTGAGAATGTACTTGTTGACTACTTTGCCAGCCAGTACATTCAAGCACTCGCGCTTCTCTCGAATTGAGGCATTCTCAATATCCATCTTCAATTTGTCCGTGCTTGGCGTTGCATCAATATCTTCAATGCCCAGTTCATTCATCGTTGCAGCCACAATTCTTGCATCCAGTTCAAGTAGAAAGAATTTCTTGCATGCGCTAACATCTTTCGACACATCTGTACGAACATTCCTTCTATTAATTAGATTTCGGTCGCTGTACAGGGTGCATTTGTCGTTGGTTGCAACTGGGTGGTAAAAGTGACTGAAGATATACTACAAAACGATAAAACTGTAAAGTGAAACCATACCTAGAGTTTCACACAGTACAGCACAATACAATACAATCAAACCTTTAGGATGGAAATATTATGGTAATCTCGCAGAAATCTATTACCATAATGGAAAAGCACTCACATCATTCTACTAATTAAAAACATTCTGATTCCTATCCAATCGATACGTTCGAAAATTTACCTCCAAAAACTTCATTCCACCATGAAAATCGGCGACTTCGAAATGAAGTCCTTCGTGCCTTTCTTCCGCAGTAAATCCATTGGATACTTCGAACAACCCGTTCACTCCTCTTTCAACCGTAAGCTGATCACCTACGACAGCCTGTTCTGCATATTTCTTCGTTCCCTCTCGCTCATATGACGGTACGTAATTTTGAAGGTAGTCAAGAATATTTTGCATTCCATCAGCATTATTTTCATTTTCGTATATGACACCAATAAGAGTCTATATGATAAAAGACAATATACACATCATGCACTATCCAGTACCTGAATTGCCAGCACTACCTTATCATTTATATATCGTTTTTTATTTATTGACCCATGGCCATGGGCCCATGAAAAAAAGACCAGACCACTTGCGCGTGACGTAACACATGACAAGCTTCGTAACTACTAACTAGCCGCCATCTTAGGGGGCAAAACGCACTGAGGGCAAAACGTTGTTAATAACATTTGCTCTTGAATGTGAATTTAATAAATATTATATTATGCATATCTTTCTCAACTTACAGTATCGGTAGGTTTCGCCATTTCTTTGGAATACTGGTGTGATATGTGGTAGGTAACTGCTTCTTTTAAGCCTTTCAAGCAAGAAATGGAGTTGGTCATAACTCTGCTAACCAAGTCAATGTAGTTTTGACGCTGCTTACTGTGCTCAAATTTGCTTGGGCAAAATGTCGCATTTTCCAATGCATTTAGATCGCATATTGGCTTATCGTTATTCAAGTGATTACCCGACACTCGGTTCTCCGTTGACATAAGTGTACAATAATGAGCATCTGGATTCTGATTCTCCTCTGTCATATCATGTGTTGCCTGGTGTATGTCAATATTGTCAAGAGTTAACTTCCGTCCATGATCAGGAGACAACTTCGAGTATTTCAAAATGTCAGCATGTGACATGGGGGATGGTCCAATATTGCTTGAAGGGCTATCATTGATGATGGAATCATCTTGGTCATCGCCTTGGATATCTTGTTGATCTCCTTGCTGTTTGGTAAATATGGAGATGGGTTCTATTGGTACATCAATAAAATTTCCAGTATTTACTTCTTCTTGCAGACATTTGAATGACTCTAGGATTCTTTTTCCATACTCGCCAGTCGTTTTATCTTTGGAAATTTCATTTGTTTGGAAATTTTCCTGTTTGGAAAAAAACCTCATAAATCGTCATTCAAATATTGTCTTGAAATATTGTCGTGCAAAAATTAAATGCACAAACAAATTTTTATCCAACACATCTGCTATGTTCAAAAGAATCTTCTTGATATACCAAATCCCATGGGCTCTTTTTGTAAATGGAACAGGTACTATCATGTCCGAAGCAGGTAACTTAACAAGTAACTATAATATTCTAACTTTTAATAAAACTACTTACAATTGTTTCGTCTTTAGAGCCAGGGCCAGGTAACCGAGTGTCCACTTCTTTCTGCACCAGTTCAATTTTTCCCATTGCTGTCATTCGTTTTCCTTCATTTTCCACCATATCTAGAATTTCTTTGTTATGGTTTTTACCAAATTGAGTAAGTTTCTTGTAGAAATATGTATGTGATGGCATCAACCTCAGGGCCTGCATACGTTTCATCATAGCCTGCAAATGAAATTTTCAGAACTGTACTGTATTTATATAGGTATATATAGGATAATTGAATTTAAATGAAGGGGATGTTTTATTATTTTTTTTATTTATGGTAAAACTTATAAGAAATGAAAAATGCAATAGACAAACAAATGGAAGGGGAATTACTGTATTACACATTGAGTGCCTTTAGTTACATAATACATAATCTATGTCTACCAAAACACAAACAAATATTACAAATAGAAGAAAATTATTAATCATATGTTACTAAAAATATTGTATTACTGTACCATAAATCCAGAATGGCGATTGATAATAGATATCATTAATTGGAGTGCGATCATGTTCCTTGATCTCTTACGAAGACAAACGGATGCAGCAACACCAACTGATTGCTTCCATTTCTCCTCATCATCATTTGCTTTAAGAGCAGCAGTCTTCAGCACCATGAGAAGCAAGGGGGCTCTTTCTTGTAATTCGGTTAATAAATTGTCAAAGGAAAAGTTTATAATGCTTTCTTTATCAGTTTTCCTCAAGCAGCTATCTTCTCTCTTTTTCGTTTTTTTGGTGCAGGCTTTTGCACACATGGCCACACATTCTTTATGTATTTGTTTCACAACTTCTTCATAAATATGCTTGCGTACCATTTCGCAACGCCATGCAGCTCTTGCTATTTGTTTCTTTGTACCACGACATAACATTTTCCCTAAGGCACTCAGTTCAGGTGGTAAGACTTTTGTCTTAGTTCGGTTAGCCCACTTGATTGAAACAGTGACTGGACATTCATTTGGCATTAGCTTTGGTACATTGACTTCTGTGTGGATTGGTGATATCGGAATTTCAGGAATTAATACAGAGCCCTTGCTTACTGGTGTTGATGCACATCCTTGGTTTTGTTTTTCGGACTTGGGTAGGCTAAAACAAACAAAAAATCACAATAAAATACTAAAGCGGGCATATTTGGGAAAATTTATTTTAATTGATTTATCAGAAGATACTGGTTCTGTAACCAATACACCCATTAATTTGAAGTAATAAAAATGTTTCACTGACTGGTAAAATTATTTGGTGTAAAATATTGATGTGTATGGAAGTAAACAGTTTTTACAACAGTACCTTGATCTGAATTGATTATTTTCTAAATTTAGCATTGCTTCGTTGTGGATTCCAACACACTGCACTTGAATGTCATGCTGCATGTGTTTCGTTGTATTGGTTGGGTTGTTTGGAAAACTTAACTTTCTGGTTACTGCTGATCCACTTTCTCTTCGTTTCACCGAAAAGCCATAATCTCCACATTTCTGGCGATATAATAATATTAGCTGTTCGTCGATGTTAAGCAAATTTTCCTTCAAATTTTTACGTTTCTTTATCAGCCGGAGACATCCTTTACATATATAAGGCGACGAACCGTGAACAACAAACGGCAAATCGTTTAATTCAGCGTTTATATTAGCTTTTTCATGAACCAAATTAAGATCTGTTGGCTTTAACAACGGTTCGAAACATAAAACACAAATTTTGGAGGACATATTAACAATTTATTACCTTTCGCGAACTATGGCACGCCAAAACACTCTTTGCTTGCCGCCATATTATTAGGTTTACATATTCGAGCGGCTGCATATTTAGCGCATTAATTATCTTGCATAAATTATTTTCCCCAAAATCGGGAAAGCTGGCGTAGCAAGCTTTCGGCCCAAGTTGCGCAGTCCCTTCTTCCTTTGGAAGTCTGGGACTGCACGCAGGCTACCGAGCAACTGGTATGACTTTCTTCGAGTTGATGAAAATAAGACGGAACTTTTTCAATTTTTGGCAAACCACATCATTTCCGTAGATTTTGAAAGTAACAAGCAAGTTATCAGTACCCTCGGTCAGCACGTTCTCTGCAATCCTTCTCGTATTGACACAAAAAGCCTCGCTCCTTGTAACCACGAAGAAGCAGATACAAGAATGATGGTTCACGTCGCAGACGCTGTTGAAACAGGTTTGACAAAAGTACTTTGACGAACGGTAGATACGGACGTTGTCGTAATTGCGATCGCAATCTCACAGAAATTGTGTGCCTCCGAGTTGTGAATAGCTTTTGGTGCGGGAAAAAACCTTAGATTCCTACCTATTCATGAAATTACCTCGAGTTTAAACCCCGAAAAATCGAAAGCTCTGCTAATGTTTCATGCTATTACAGGCTGTGATACCGTTTCATCTTTCTCGGGTAAAGGCAAGAAAACAGCTTGGAAAACGTGGCTCTTGTATGACGAGGTTACATCAGCTTTTCAACTCCTGTCTGACCAACCAGAAAGTGTAACAGATGAGTGCATGGACATCCTCGAGCGATTCATCGTTCTTCTCTACGACCGAACATGTCCGAGTTCGCACAGAAAGGAAAGTCTCTTGAGTTGATCCCCCCTACCCAAGCAGCCTTGTTTCAACACGTGAAAAGATCCGTGCATCAAGGAGGATATTGCTGGGGACAAACTACGATTCCCATGGCAGTACTCTTTCTGATGTGTCAATGGCGTACAATGCACTTGTGCGGTGTGGTTGCAAGAAAGGGTGTGAGGAAATTGCTCTTGCCGTAAAGCAGCTTTGCAATGTACTGCATTGTGTGCATGCGACGGCGAGTGCTTAAAAGAGTGACTTATGAGATAGCTACTAACCTGTACATGGTCAAGAACTTGATCATTTTATATGAACTTATCGATACTCTATTACTTCAAATAGAATAGTGTTAAAGAAGTGATTCAAAAATTAAATGCTTAATTCCATACATTATAAATTCAAAATGGCCGCCGATTATTGTCTTCACACAAAAAACGTGTTGCAAGGTCTTATTATTGCAAATGATCAATTAAAAAACTGTATTGTAAGTCCTGTGGTACCTTGTCTACATAATTGCTAGGTTAAAAAATGTTATGAATCTATTAAAAAAGAGAAAACGGCTTTTTGTCGACAAAAAGGGAGTTGATTTTACAACATTCTCGCCATTGAAATCGTCTAAACTGTAATATATGAATTACTTTCGCACATTAAAAACTAGACAGACTGAAATAGACATAAGGAACCTACAATAGAGCAGAAAAAATATTTCAGCTGATTTACAAGTAGGAAACCATGAAATATATGACACTTCCGGTTTTCTGCCTCGCTTTCATGAAAAATTGGCCCTTAACGGCTATAATTTGAATTTTTGGGGTTGCCTCCATATCCAGTTTTTTTTCGCCTCATCAAGAACTATAAATGTGCCAAATTTGGTGCTTTCTTCACAAACTGCATGATTTTTCGACATATCCGCTGGACTGAAATAGCAATTTTTCCCTTATATAAGATGCCAGATTTTGAAATATAAATTCTTTAATATTGATTTGCTGAACTTTAAATTCAGGATGAAAGTTAAGAAGGGATTGACAAAGGATACAACAGAATATTATACGAGAAGTTCATTTCATTTAGTTCAAAAAATTAGAAAACCATTGTCTAAAATAGCAATTTTTGCCTTTATATGAGATGTCAGATTTTGAAAGCTAAATTCTTTAATATTGATTTGCTAGACTTGAAATTAAGTATGAATGTCCAGAAGAGATTGGCAAAGGATACAATAGAATATTAGACCAGCAGTTCATTTCATTTAGTTCAAAAGATGTGAAAACAATTGTCTAAAATAGCAATTTTTTTCTTATATGAGATGTCAGACATTGAAAGCTAAATTCTTTATTATTGATTTGTTGAACTTGAAATTCACTACGAATGGTCAAAAGGTAATGACAAAGGATACAACAGAATATTGGACTAGCAGTTCATTTCATTCAGTTCAAAAAATTTGAAAACCATTGTCTAAAATAGCAATTTTTCCCTTATATGAGATGTCAGATTTTGAAAGCTAAATTCTTTAATATTGATTTGCTGAACTTGAAATGCAGTACGTATGGTCAGAAGGGATAGACAATGGATACAACAGGATATTAGACCAGCAATTCATTTCATTCAGTTAAAAATATTTGAAAACCATTGTCTAAAATAGCCATTATTGCCCAATATGATGTGAAAGATTTTAAAAGCTGAATTCTTTAATATTGATTTCCTAGATTTGAAATTCAGTAAGAATGTTCAGAAGGGATTGGCAAAGGATACAACAGAATATTAGACCAGCAGTTCATTTCATTCAGGTCAAAAGATGTGAAAACAATTGTCCAAAATAGCAATTTTTCCTTTACATGAGGTGTCAGATTTTCAAAGCTAAATTCTTTAATATTGATTTGCTAGACTTGAAATTCAGTATGAATGTTCAAAAGGGATTGACAAAGGATACAACAGAATATTACACCAGCATTTCATTTCATTGAGTTAAAAAAATTCAAAACAATTGT